GTAACACACTTCATGCTGTGGTTCTCTGCTTTGCAAAAAGAGTATATGTCTGTTTTTAAGTATGTTCTGGTGCGTGCCCAGCTCATTCAAATGAATGGACTGTCTTACCGCAACATTCCAGACTGTAGTAGCATGAATGGGCTTCCTGTTACTTTGGACAGATTTCCCTTCACTTGATTTTCTCTAGAGTGACCGACAAAAAAAAGTACTTTAGAGGGGATTTAAAGCAGAATTCAAACCCAGTAAAAGATAACATAACCAGCTTTTGCTGCAAAATTCACCTTCAATACAGAGCTTTCCTCAGCTTTATTTTTCTCTGCCACTAGATGTCCTCAGTTTAATAGGCAGTATCATTTAACCCCCTTCCTCTGAACCCATGTTATTTTGGACCCCACTTACTGGACAATGAAAGTAGATGCAGCCCAGTCATAAGCTCATTTCTCAGTCACTCTGCTTTCTTCTCCTATCATCAGTATGCTTCTTGTCAGCACGTGAACTGATACGTTTTTTGCACTGCTTCTTCTTCTTACATTCCAACCCTGCTGTAGAGGCCCTGATACCAGGTCAGATTTAGGAACTTACACTACTTGCATTTCAAAAGTACACTTAATAATGTATTCATGACTACAGTTCTGCATTATTTTGTTCATGTTATATCTGCCTAGAATTTAAATTTCAGTTTAACCACATGACGGCTCCAGCGTGGTCGTCCAGTTCTGGGAGGGCGTCATATGATGTCCTATGATGTCCTCCCACAATGCGCCCCACCCCATGGGCACCCCATGGCGCGCACCCAACGCTGTCTGTGATCGCTATGTCCTTTGGACACAGCTGATCACATGGCATGGTATAGGACCAATCACATTGGTCTTTTACCACGTGATCAGCTGTGTCCAATCACAGCTGATCACCATGTAAATACACTTGCCGGTTATCAGCAGTACTTTCCTCATGCTGTCACAGCGTGAGGAAAGTACTGTTGATAACTGGCAACTGTGAAAGGAGACATCCGCACTGATAATCAGTGCCCTGATTATCAGTGCAGCCCCAAAAGTGCCCAACAGTGCTGCCCAACAGTGCCTAACAGTGTTGCCCATCAGTGCCTAACAGTGTTGCCCATCAGTGCCCAGCAGTGCTGCCAATCTGTGTCCATCAGTGTCGCCAGTCAGTGCTTTTCAGTGCCGCCTCTTAGTGCCCATCATTGCCGCCCATCAGTGCCCAACAGTCCTGACCATCAGTGCCTAACAGTGTTGCACAGCAGTGCTGCCAATCTGTGTCCATCAGTGTCGCCGGTCAGTTCTCTTCAGTGCCGCCTATTAGTGCCCATCAGTGCCTATCATTGCCGCCCATCAGTGCCCAACAGTCCTGCCCATCAGTGCCTAACAGTGTTGCCCATTAGTGCCCAGCAGTGCTGCAAATCTGTTCCCGTCAGTGATGCCAATCAGTGCCCATCAGTGTTGCCAGTCAGTGCTCTACAGTGCTGCCTATTAGTGCCCATCAGTGCAGCCTATCAGTACCCATCAGTGCCTATCAGTGCTGCCTGTCAGTGCCCATCAGTGCTGCCTATCAGTGTGGCCTCATCAACGCACATCAGTGAAGGAGAAAAATTATCTGTTTGCAAAATTTTATAACAGAAACAAGGAAAAACTTAAAAATTTAAAAAAATTAAAAACCCAGTGGTGATTAAACACCACCCAAAGAAAGCTCCATTTGTGTGAAAAAAATTATAAAAATTTCATATGTGTACAGCGTTGTATGACAGTGCAATTATCATTCAAATTGCAACAGTGCTGAAAGCTGGAAACTGGCCTGGGCAGGAAGGGGGCAAAAGTGCCCCGTAGGCAAGCAGTTAAAAATTTACAAAATTAAAATAAAATTGACCCAAAACATTTCAGCTGCCCTGTTCCCTGTTCTGGATAACTCACGTTAGGATGCACACAGAAAGTGTTGCCATGTTATTTTACTGTTTAACCTGCTGCCACAGGATCACTGGGAAAATGCAATGCCCCCCACGGCCCTGTGATTTAATGCAGGTAGGGTGAATGTGTAAATCCAGGGATACCCAATACACATCAGAACATCGAGGGTGGAGAGCAAAGTGAGATCAAGTTCCTATTCAGACAACAGATGAATTATTTATTCAATAGCAGCTCTGAGTCTTATCTGTAGTGTTCTGCGAGCACTGGATATATTACAGCACTAGCTTTCCAATATGCAGAATATTCATTGCAAGTTTATCTTCGTGATAAGCGTGCTATGGAGAGTCCCCGTGATTCAGGCCCGGAAAGGTAAGCAGAGATTTCAAGTGGTTCTCTATGTCGATGTTGGATGGAGGGAATCCTCTTAAATGTCTTTTTCCTTTCCAATAGAGCAACTGAACTTTACTCTTTGAACATTTTAAATGGGCCGGTTGTAAGACAAACTGGAAGCTTTAGGTTGTTTCTTCAGCTTTTCCTGCATATTTTTACCATACTAGGCCCCTGTAATGTACCAAGCTTCTTCAACATCAGAGCAGCCAGTCATCGTGTAGCATATTAGCCCAGTACACATTGGTTTGAACAATTGGTTAAAGGTTGAGATAGTCTGCATGTTTGTATTACTGTACTTAATTATTTTACAAGCAAAAAATACTGATATGTCATTAGAGCTGGGATGCTGTGTTGGCTACTCTGGTTATTGGTGGAAATTAAAAAAACATACCACCTTATAAATTACATAGGTGGAATTATGGAAGTTGCCTTTGACGGAATGTATTTTATTTTAAACCCATTGAACCTAGCTATTTGGATTATGAAAACATGAGATGTACAGGTTTCACTGCTATCTTTTGGAAAATACAGTCCAAAATGTTCATCCCCAGGCAGCAGAGAGGAATGTTGCTCTCTGTGTTTAAGCAGAGATCTCTCAGCAACAATCACTAAATTACAATCATAATATGCTGTGTCAGTGACCAGATATGCTGTCAGCAAAGCTCATGTGCATTCGTTGATTGCAAAGGTCTAGCTTTAGAAGGAACAATAATGGAGCAGCAGCACACTCCCTCCTGAAAGCATCTTCACAATGTTAGATTGACAGCACTTTGTGCTGCAGCAAAGCCTGGTTGGCTACTTGTGTTGCCAGTCTTGCTTTGTGTGCAGGGGGTTGCAGAAGGCTGATATAAATACACAAGTGAGTATATACACTTTATTGCCTGCCTTTACACGCACATGAACTTTAATGGCATCCCAGTCTTAGTCTGTGGGGTTCAGTATTGAGTTGGCCCACCCTTTGCAGCTATAACAGCTTCAACCCTTCTAGGAAGGCTGTCCACAAGGTTTAGGAGGGTGTCTATGGGAATGTTTGACCATTCTTCCAGAAGAGCATTTGTGAGGTCAGGCACTGATGTCAGATGAGAAGGCCTGGCTCACAGTCTCCGCTCTAATTCATACTGAAGGTGTTCTATCAGGTTGAGGTCAGGACTCTGTGCAGGCCAGTCAAGTTCCTCCACCCCAAACTCGCTCCTCCATGTCTTTATGGACCTTGCTTTGTGCACTGGTGCGCAGCCATGTTAGAACAGGAAGGGGCCATCCCCAAACTGTTCCCACGAAGGTGGGAGCATGAAATTGTCCAAAATGTCTTGTGTATGCTGACGCCTTAAGAGTTCCCTTCACTGAAACTAAGGGGCCAAACCCTGAAAAACAACCCCACACCATAATCCCCCCTCCACCAAACTTTGCACTTGGCACAATGCAGTAAGGCAAGTATTGTTCTCCTGGCAACTGCCAAACCCAGACACGTCCTTTGGATTGGCAGACAGAGAAGCATGATTCGTCATTCCAGGGAACACGTTTCCACTGCTCTAGAGTCCAGTGGCGGCGTGCTTTACACCACTGCATCTGAGATGCTTTACATAGCAGTAAGTGAGCTCTCTACACACTGTTCTGCTAATCTAAAGGCCACACGAAGTTTGGAGGTCTTTAGCTATTGACTCTGCAGACAGTTGGAGACTTCTGTACACTTCAGCATGTGCTGACCCCGCTCTGTCATTTTACGTGGCCTACCACTTCATGGCTGAGTTGCTGTTGTTCCCAGTTGCTTCCACTTTGTTATAATACCACTAACAGTTGACCGTGGAATATTTTAGTAGCAAGGAAATTTCAGGGATGGACTTATTGCAGAGGTGGCAACCTATCACGGGACCACGCTTGAATTCACTGAGCTCCTGAGAGCGACCCATTCTTTCACAAATGTTTGTAGAAGCGGTCTGCATGCCTAGGGGCTTGATGGTATACACCTGTGACCATGGAGGTGATTGGAACACCTGAATCCAATGATTTGGATGGCTGGCCCAATACTTTTGGCAATATAATGTATAATATATTTTATATATATATATATATATATATATATATATAGTGCTCAAAAGAACTGGATCCACTCTGCTAACAGGAAGTGATGTAGCAGACCCAGTACTGGGCACTAGGGGGAAAAGGAGTAATCATAGTCTCATCTGTAAATGTCCCTGAAAGGCATAATGATATAGCCGGCACCTGGCTTTGGTTACCTTGAGTACCTGTGTGCCCTGTTGTGCAAGTAGCAACTTGAATTCCAAAATAGGACATTGGCATGTTTTCTGCTGGCCCATGTGGCTCATGTCTAATCATTGAGATCACTCAATTATGGGGTACAGATTTTAGGAGGGGGTAGGCCTAGGCTTCAGCTATATCTTTCTCAACTTCAATTGTTAATACTGTATATTACACTGTATTTAGAGATCTGAAGTGTTCTGCTGGTAGAAATTTTATATGAGATAAATGAACAAAAATAAGAGAACAAAGTGTTGGTTTCTCATGAATGACTTAAAATTCCCTCTTCTTCCACAGGTGTGAAGTGTGGGGGAGTGCTTTCAGCTCCCATAGGCCATATCTTCAGCCCCAACTTCCCAAGAGTGTATCCACCTTATACTGAGTGCAGCTGGCTCATCGTTGTATCTGAGGGATTCACGGTTCAGCTTACCTTTGATGAATTCAACTTGGAGTTCCATGACACGTGTGACTATGACTACATCAAGATTTACAATGGGGCCTCCAGGGATGAGGGGAATCTGCTGGGAACATTCTGTGGTTCCCAGGTTCCCCCAAACCTCACATCATCATGGCATGTACTGTCTGTTATTTTTCATTCAGACAAACACGTGGGAAGCACAGGATTCTCTGCCACCTACAGGAAAGGTGAGTCAATCTTACGGTAACCCTACATTTATCTGGATTCAAAAGACTTGTCTCCAAACTTGACCACTTGCTGCTTTAAGGACCCATTTACACCAATACATTTCAACACATGCATTTTAATGCACATCAGCCCATGTTCAAAGGTTTGCCATTGTTTTTAATGGTGCAATTGTTTGATGTCATTTATAGGAGCTATGGGAAATGTATGACTATTGATAAGCCATTGAAAAACATATGAAAATATTCAGCTAAAAGTGTGAATTCAGAATATAATACAATCATTTCTCATCCCTTTATGCCTCTTGCAGTGGGAATTGTAAAGCCCAACTCCAGGCTCCATTTTTAATTAAAGATGTATTTGTAAGCAGAAAGAGAGACATGCCCATTTCCTCGCAAGATGCTTTAGAATGAATTCCAGTATGCCTGTGCAGGAGTAATGTCATCTTGGCCCGGCCAAAGAAAAAAAACATAAAAACCTAGCAACAAATGATGCAACAGATGATATTTTTTCTCTATTGGTTAATAAAAAAAAAGGCAAAACTCAAAAAAAAATGCTGGCTAAAAATGCTGTATGAAACCGCTCAGATGTGATGTGAATACAGCGTAAAGACCTCTTTAAAGAAAAAAAAATGTTTTTGGATGGAAGACGATGTAGCCACAAGTTGGGTTTTAACACACATGTAGCCCTCATAGTTTCCCTTTAAAAATACCCTAAAGTGCAGCCAATAGAAATGAAGCAGCCATATAAGAAAGAAGGGATTTTCTGCTTGAAATGCATTTTAATGCAGTCATTTTCATGTGTTTTACTGCAGGACAAGTGTAAATAGGCACTAAACGTTAATTACTTTATTTACCATAAAAATCCTATTTTTTTTAAAACACAGGACGCTGCCAGATGATCTCTAGAAATGATCCTTCCAGGAACTGTATATAGGCACACTGTTTGTATTGATCGTTCAGTTACTGTAATATAGGGAAAACACACATGTAAATAAAATTATTAGAACGATGGAAAGTGGCAAAACATTTTCTGTTCCTGGCATCAATTTTTCTGGTGCCGGGGTCTTTTATTACATGATACAAACAAATCTTCCTGGCACTACTAGGCAGCAAAGAAAATCTAAACTATTTCACATTTTAAAAAGAAAAAAAGAAGTCTCAGTTGCATAGACAACAAGGAGGCAGGACAAGGCCCCTTCATTTTATTCAGTTCTTTTCTAATCAATGAGAGCCCTGACAGTGAGATATATTACAGCACAGGGGCGGACTGACAACTCATGGGGCCCCCTGTGTCCTTGCCCAAACTCAAAAAAGCCTATGAAAAAGGTACCAGGGGCATCTCATGGGGCCCTCTACTGACCCTGGGCCCTCAGGCAGTGCCCGAGTTTCCAAATGGTCAGTCCGCCCCGTTACAGCATCTGCTAAAGACTTTCATGATCCATATGCAGTGGTGTCCCCGCAGGATGGGTGGGATCTGCGGATTGGGGAGCATAATGAATCGGACTCCGATCCATTATGCTCAATCCACAGATCCGATCCATCCTGTGGGAATCGTCGGCATGCAACCTATAAGGGGTGACACTGGACCCGCTCCAAGAAAAGGTAAGTTGTAAAGAAAGCCGACGATCCCCGCAGGATGGATCCGATCCATCCTGCGGGGATCATTGGTTTTATTTACAACTTACCTTTTCGTGGAGCGGTTCCGGTGTCACCCCGTGCGGTCAGTGTCACCTGGTGCGGGCCGCAATCCCCGCACCTGCCTCGGGACGCCACTGCATATGGATCATGAAAGTCTTTAGCAGATGCTGTAACGGGGCGGACTGACCATTTGGAAACTCAGGCACTGCCTGAGGGCCCAGGGTCAGTAGAGGACTCTTTGGAGCTTACAATCTAAGAGATTATTATTATATCTAATTAACTGATTTTTTATTGAGAGTTTTTGACTCTTTCCATTTATAGGTTGCCTTTTGCAGCTTATATATATTCATTTGTACCCCTCCCTTTGTGCAATGCCCATTCGACTTTTTAAGTGGATTAAGCGAATTGTGTTTTTCTTGCCAAGGCGCATCACTAAAAGCTGACCCAATCTTTCGTAGGTGAGCAAAATAGTAGCATGAAGCCACACATTTCTGTGCATACTTACTGGACTCCAGCACATGTACCCATTGGATATACATTGTACAGCAACTCTGCGTGAGAACTGTGCTCTGTGGTGTCTTTGTCTTTTAATGAAACTGTTCCCAGTCCCTATTATTTATTTTTACTTGATAATACAGCACCAACATACAATCATTGACCACTTTATTAGGTACAGCTGTTCAATTGCTTGGTAACACAAATTGCTAATCAGCCAATCACATGGCAGCAACTCAATGCATTTAGGCATCTAGACGTGGTGGAGACGACTTGCTTAAGTTCAAACAGAGCATCAGAATGGGGAAGAAAGGGGATTTAAGGGACTTTGAACGTGGCATGGTTTTTGGTGCCAGACAGGTAGGTCTGAGTATTTCAAACACTGCTGATCTACTGGGATTTTCATGTCCAACCATCTCTACAGTTTACAGAGAATGGTCCAAAAAAGAGAAAATAACCAGCGAGCGGCAGTTGTGTGGATGAATATGCCTTGTTGATGTCAGAGGAGAATGGGCAGACTGGTTGCTACGACATTCAGATGGTAGGGTCACAACCAGGGGCGGATTGACTATTCGAGCACTCGGGCACTGCCCGAGGGCCCGGGGTCATTAGGGGGCCCCATGAAATGCCCCTGCTACCTTTTTATAGGCTTTTTTGGGTGTGCTTTGAGTGTGGGCAAGGACACAGGGGCCCCATGATCCCCTATTGCCCAGGGGCCCCATGAGTTGTCAGTTCTCCCCTGGTCAGAACTTGGCATAAACAACATGAAAGCATGGATCCATCCTGCATTGTATCAATGGTTCAGGCTGGTGGTGGTGGTGGTGTAATGGTGTGGAGGATATTTTCTAGGCACTAGCAAGGTGTACCTAATAAAGTGGCCAGAGAGTGTGTATTACACAGCACTTTACAGGGTAAAAAACTGGAAATGAGCTTAAAGGGAATCCATTGACTTTGTTAGATATACAGTATATATACAGTGCCTTGAAAAAGTATTCATACCCCTTGAAATTTTCCACATTCTGTCATGTTACAATCAAAAACATAAATGTATTTTATTGGGATTTTATGTGATAGACCAACACAAAGTGGAACATAATTGTAAAGTGGAAGGAAAATGATAAATGGTTTTCAAAATTGTTTACAAATAAATATGTGAAAAGTGGGGCATGCATTTGTATTCAGTCCCCCCGGAGTCAATACTTTGTAGAACCACCTTTCACTGCAATTACAGCTGCAAATCTTTTTGGGGATGTCTCTACCAGCTTTGCACATCTAGAGAGGGACATTTTTACCCATTCTTCTTTGTTGTAACATGAAAAATGTGGAAAATTTCAAGGGGTATGAATACTTTTTCAAGGCATTGTATATACTGTATACTGTATATCTGTAAGTGGTAATATAAGCATTCCTATTAAGGATCAGTTCACTCAAATGTGATAGTTTGGGGAAAGGCCAACCTTGGGCCCCATGGTCCCCCACAGGTGATGGCTGGAGGCTCCTCCAGTGTGTACGGTAAGTTTTTTTTTAACATATTTACTTTATGTCTTCTGGACAGTCAAATTACATCCCGGGTCCTCTTCTCTAGCAATGGCAGTTCTTGGTGATACAGAAAGGACAGTTCTCTGCATCGAATACATTTATGTACATAAAATACATTTATGTTTTTGGTTGTAACATGACAGAATTTTTTTTAACATATTTACTTTATGTCTTCTGGACAATCAAATTACATCCCGGGTCCTCTTCTCTAGCAATGGCAGTTCTTGGAGATACAGAAAGGACAGTTCTCTGCATCGAGTATATTCCTTTTGTACACCATACTGGAACCAACCATATGGTTAAGACAGTGCTGCAACAATTTCCGACAGGTCATGGTGTATAACATGAATACAATTTGTTAACGGCCCACCTTTGTGCCTTGTTGAGAGCATGTGGCTTGGTATGGTTCAGGAGGGTGGTTGTTTGCTCATCTCCCCCTTTTTTGGCTAGTCAGGCTGCATGCTCAGATAAGAGTCTAAAATAGATTTTTGGGGGGAAACTTCATGCGTTTTGTTTTCTTGTTTCTTTGTACAAGGGTTACTCTTAAAATCCCTAGCAGACCTGAATTTGGTGGTAAACTTAGGCTTTAAGCATTACTAAAATCACTGCTCCCAGTCAAAGAGTATGTTTTGAAAATGTTTTTGGTTTGGTATATGTTGCCAAGGACAGTGTCCAGCCACCTATTAGCCTAGAAAATAGCTATTGCTGATTTTTTTCATACAGCTCCCTTTGACTTCACTGGATTTCAGATTTGGCACCCAAACCTTAGGTCATGTTCGCGAACCTGCCTCAAACTGAACCTGGCTTCCACTCGCTCAATGAATAAAATTCAAAATACTAACAACAACTTACAAAGCCATCTACAACTCTGCCCCCAGCTACATCACCAACCTGGTCTCAAAATATCCACCAAACTGCTCTCTTCGATCCTCCCAAGACCTTCTACTCTCTAGTTCCTGTGTCACCTCCTCCCACGCTCGCCTCCAGGACTTCTCTCGAGCTTCTCCCATCCTATGGAACTCCCTACCCCAATCTGTCTGGCTGTCTCCTAATCTATCCACCTTTAGACGATCCCTGAAAACCTTTCTCTTTAAAGAAGCCTATCCAGCTTCTACCTAGTAAACAGTCCATTTATGTCCATCAGCTCATCCCCCCCACAGCTATTACCTTTTGTATCTTTCAACCCTTCCTCCTAGATTGTAAGCTCTAATGAGCAGGGCCCTCTGTTTCCTCTTGTACCAAATTGTATTGTAACTGTAATGTCTACCTTCATTTTGTAAAGCGCTGTTGGCGCTATATAAATCCTGTATAATAATAATAATAACCTAGGTATGTTTGGCTCATCACTATCCATTGTGTTCCCTGCTGATACATAAGCATGCAGCAAAGCCTGATAGACTACTTGTGATTCCCTCCCCCCTTCCAGTCCAATGAGGCTAATATAAAGAAAAATTTGCAAAAATATTTTAAAGTTTAGATAGATTAGGGAAGAGTTAGATTTTTGACCTTTGTCAGGTTTTATCACTGTTATCCTAACAACTGTTAGAGTGCATTTCCCTCACTTTGGAGAAATGGGACGCAACTGTCAAAGGAAGTGACAGGGGTCTTTAACATTTCCTACTCCATGCAAAATGAAAGAAGTATTGGCTTCAGATATACTTTATATGGTGTTTCTTTACAATTACATGGAGTTTAGCTGTAAACCTTTTCAGACACAACCAGGGGCGGACTGACAACTCATCATGGGGCCCCTGGGCAATAGGGGATCATGGGGCCCCTTTGTCCTTGCCCAAACTCAAAAAAGCCTATGAAAAAGGTACCAGGGGCATCTCATAGGGCCCCTTACTGACCCCGGGCCCTCAGGCAGTGCCCGAGTTTCCAAATGGTCAGTCCGCTCCTGGACACAACTATGTTTTAGTTGTGGATAACCCAAGTCTGTTCCCAGCCTCTCATTTCCAGGGGTAAGTCAAAGTGTTCCCACCAGGCCCACGATCTCTCTGTTTTCCCTTGGTAACCAATCCTATTTTTTTTTTTATCTCCTAACCCCTATACCATTATTCATTTTTATTTCACAGCTAATCTCTGGCATGGGAACAATTTTATGCTTGACCGTTCTAGGAAGAATTCTGTGATCAATAATGTTGTTACTTTCAAATGTTTATCATGTGTCCGAAAATCCTACTGCAACCGATTATTAAACTTTTGGCTTAAAAAAAAAACAAAAATGGATAATCTACATGGGCCTTATGTGTGGCTTTAATTTGGAAATGTAATTATGTTCAATTTACAAAGAGATTTCTCTGCTGCATTAACTCTCAGATAATGTTGCTGCCTTTCCTAATCAAAAGCATTAACGTTCCAAATTGAACTCAATTAAGCCTTCCCCTTGGGTTTCATACAGCATATATAAAGCTTTTTTTTTTTTCAGTTTTAAAGTAAAGAATGGTTAAAACCTTTCTTTGTTTTTTTTTTTCTTGCTGCCTGTGACTCATTGGAGAGATTTCCCTTGACTTCTTTTCTAGAGAAACAAAGGAAAGTGAGCAGAAATTGCTCCAAACAATGGAAATCTACTCTTAGACAATAGTCACTAGAACAGGATTCTCTATTGAAATATTTCCCTTCTGTTCCTGGTCTGGTGACAGCTGTAAAATTTTGGATCTCCTATCATTTTGTATCCAAGTAAAAAATGTCCAAGGACAAAAAAATGTGAATCTCTCAAGAGGGATGGGCGATAACAGACAACAATAAAGACACTTAAATAGATTCTAACAAAATGTTTTGGCGTTAGGTACACTTTAGTCTTCCTTGGATATATATTATATGTAGAATATGCAGTATCTATATACCATAATTATGGCTGCTTTCTTTCTTATATCTACCCAATATTGCCATTTTGGCCATACAGGATAAATTACTGAGTCCATGGGGAGATAGAGCTCCACAAATGTGGGGGGTGGTTTTGTCCATGTAAGGAATTTTTGGGCAGAATTTGGTCAGATTTTAGGTATGACTAATTTTTTTGTGCTTTATATTGTAGAAATCGATAAATTGTGTTTCCTTTATACTTTCTCATGCAGATATCTGTGGAGGAGTGCTCACTGGGCCTTTCTGGAGTTATTACGAGCCCTGATTACCCTGATAATTATCCCAACAATGCAGAGTGCCACTGGCTGATCCGGGCCGCCCCTCACACCAACATTCGCCTGGTGTTCACAGACTTCCAGCTGGAGAGCCAGGAGTGTAACTTTGATTATGTTGCTGTCCTTGATGGCAATGGTATTGAAGAACAAGTCCGCCATTACTGTGGCACCACCAAGCCACCAGACATCACATCCACCTCCAATGAGCTGCATGTAGTCTTCAAATCTGACTTCAATATTGGAGCCAGGGGTTTCAAGGCTCACTTCTCATCCGGTATGACATTTCTCCTCTTCACTTTAAATCAATTTAAAATTACATTTCGTAAGTATTTGATCAAGTTAGATACTAACTGCTAAGTTTGTATACGAAATTCACAAGGGATAAGACAATTGTGTAAGTTCATGACCAGGTTGCTTAACTGCATTTATGGTCACCATTGGCTTTGCTTTATGGTAGGTATTTCTGGATCGCAAACTCTAGGACTTAATAAATATGGACTATGTCCTCAACCATTACTAGAGACTGTACACTGCAGTGGATAGTAACTTCTACCCACTTGGTTTTGGTAGAAAACCGCGGCATGCTTCCTTCAGGTTTATAATAAACATCTTATTTTTTTTTTTTCTCTGTAAGGAAGGTGTGAGAGAAGCATAGAGGAGCACTACAAGATAACTTACATTACATGCATTGTGACCTTCAGAGTATTTTTAGGAAAACATTAGGATGAGTGACCCAAGTCAATTGAAATAAGCACATCAAAGCATGACATTTTTTACATTCATGTAATGGACGAAAATTTGTGACTTGGTGAACATGATCTGATATTACTCCCAAAATGCTCCTGATCCAACATTCTTTCATTTTTTGTATCTCTCAGGTGAATGTCAGGATGTGTTCAAAGCAGTGAAGGGCAATATCTCTAGCCCTCGCTATCCAGAAATGTACCCCAATAATATTATCTGCCAGTGGAATGTCCAGTTACCCCCAGGCTTTCGTATTAAGATGTTCTTCCGAGACCTGGAGCTGGAGGAAAGGAACAGTTTAACGGAACATTGTGATTATGACTATGTGGCGGTTTACGATGGGCAAAATGAAGGCAACAAACTTCTGGGAAAATGGTGTGGTATTGAGGTCCCCTCACCAATCATGTCTACTAAGAACAATCTGCTATTGGTTCTCGTGACGGACAGAGATACAGCCAGTAAGGGCTTCTCCGTGTTTTACATTGGTGGTAAGTACACAACAACAGTAATAATTTTGCATTACTTGGTGTTTGTGTCTGGATTGTATTGGGTCAAAATGGGACTGAGCGAAGAGTCTCTTTTTGATGATAAAAGTTACTTACTGCAGATTTTCTATTTTCCAGGGCAGGCAAGTAAAAGGATTATTATGATTTGTTAATGAGAAGCAGAGGTGATTCTTCTGTCAGCCTCATTAATAAGTCATGCATATTATGGCCACAAGAAACTGAGTAATATCCATAGGGTCCAGCAACACAAGGGGCCCACTACTGTCTGGCTCTTTCATGGTTTATCCAGACAGCAGGAGAATACAGCAAATCATTTTCAGTAAAGTAAAGACATACTCATTTCAGGCACCCCTTTTACCCTTTTAGATGGTTATAAATGGAATTAGTATGTATTATTTTTCGTATATTAAAGTGGCACAGTAAGTAGAAGCCCAGAGACTGAAGTGACCATATAAACATTTTGGTGTAGATCCCTATCCTATACAGGTACAGGTCTCTATCCTATCTATCCTATATTGATGTGACAAATCACTGCAGGGCTTGTCATAGACATGACGGGATGATTGGAAGATCCAAATACTGTATGATCTTTCTGTTTAACGATCATGGCTGAAATATGCTCAGGTATTACGCTAAGCATGTATGTTTAAAGGATTTGTCCTAGGAAGTCAAACCATTATCAAGAGGTGCCTATACATACTTACAGTAGCCTCCCAAACCTTCCTGTCATTGCAGAACTTGAAGTTGTTCTAGCAGACAGCACCTACACTTCTGAGCAGTTTTAGAACTTACCACTAAGCTTCACTCCTATACTGTCTTATTGGCCCTTCACTACAATGGAAGGTCTCACTGACCAGTAGGAATGTGCAGGAGACAGAAAAATGCATGCACACCTAAAATGAACTTGTGCCCACATAATACACACTAAAGTATTTACATATTCTGAACTGCCGTATGCAGAACAATTAGAGGATTGGATCCTCAAATAACCCAACATGGGCCATGCCATTTTTGACACAGTTGACTACTGATCTGTAGTTTGTTTTGGGGTACACAATGGATGGGGAAGGCAAGAAATGGAAGTAAGATTTAGATTTTCTTTTTTTTTTATGGAATTTTAACCATAATAAAAAAAAGTATTTTAATAAGGAACATACATTCCTCATTAATAATTATGCTACGAAGATTAGTGTGTGCTGGAAATTGCCTCCACTATTGTTCCTGTTTCTTCTTGACTGAGGCTGCCATTTTGCTGAAATCCCAGAGCCCCTGAGCAGCAATTCCCTTAGGTTCACACCTAAGCGATTTCCGCAGTGTTTTGAGTTTGCAAAAATGCACTACAGTCCATTTAACATGATTTCCTATGGGACAACACGTTCACATCTCCACGTTTTTACCTAGTGCGTTTTTTTTTTGGAAAGGGTCTGGGTCAAGTTGTGAAATTTTGGTTCTATAGACTTCAATGAAAATACTGCAGAAAAGCATGTAGTGTGTTTTCGCTGCATTTTTGTTACTTTTTATGCCTTTTAAATCTGCTAAGCAACAAAAAAAAAATGCAAAATGCATCAAAACACAGGAAAAATGCATGTGCCAAAATGCAACGCAAAACGCACGGCAGAAACGGATCAAACGCAAACTGCATATGTGTGAACCTAGCCTAAATCTTTACGCTGTCAGCAGATTGGTTTCTAGATTTTTGGCAGTACCAATAAGTAGAGCACAACAGAGCTTGTGCAGAGCAGGGTGAGACAGTATATTACTGGATTTAAACTTTATAGGCACTTATTTTTAATGTTTTTATATAGCTATACCTGCAAAAGAGGCCATCATTACGTGATCTAGCAGGACTTAATTTTCTGACTAAAGTTCCACTTTAAAGCCCAACTAATAGCTGTTTATTCTATAGTAAGTGATGTAACTAAAGGGTTGTTGGGTAAGGTATGTCTTTTTGCTGATGACACAAAGGTGTGCAATACGGTTGGTATCCTGGGAGGTGTTTGTAACATGGAACATGATTTGCCATTGCTGGAAGATTGGTCAAAAAAGTGGAAATTGCAGTTCAATGTTTCTAAATGTAAACTAATGCACCTAGGGAAAAAGAATCCCTTGAGAGAGTACAACATTGGGGGTACAGTGTTGGCCAGCATTACAGAGGAAAAGGACTTGGGGGTACTTATTTCAGATGATTGCAACATGAGCAATCAGTGTGACCAGGCAGCGGGGAAAGCACAATTCTAGGATACATCAGTAGAGGGGTCACCAGCAGGAGGGAGGTCCTGATTCCTCTATATAGATCTTTAGTTAGGCCTCATTTAGAATACTGTGTCCCGTTCTGGAGACCTCACTTACAAAAAGATACGAGTCCAGAGACGGGTAACAAAAATGGTGAAAGGTCTGGGGGATAAAACATATCAATAGCGACTTCAGGGACTTAACATGTACAGTCTGGAGGACAGAAGGGAAAGGGGAGACATGACTGAAACCTTTATATACATCAAGGGGGTGAATAAGGTTCAGGAGGGCAGTATTCTCAATATGAAACCAAAATGAAGAACATGGGGACATGACCTTAAAGCAGAATTCCACTCACGCTGTCAAAAAATAAAAGTCAGCAGCTAAAAAAACTGTAGCTGCTGACTTTTAAAAAACAGCCACTTACCTGTCCCTCGGTCCCACGGTGTGTCCCCTGCAACCTGTTTCACCGGCCGTCATGTATTCCAGGAGGTTGGCACCTTCAGTGTGGGCACCCGGCTGTGACAGCTTGCGGCTTCACAGTCTGGTACCCACTGCGCATGCGCGAGAAGCGCTGCGCTTCATGAATAGTCCTGTAGTCTTCTGGGACCTGTCACATGTCCCAAAAGACTAAAGGGAGGGAGGACATCTTCCGCTTCCGATCGCCTAGGTGATTGGACCGGAACTGGGAGCTGGTACCTGTTAAATTTGGGTACCCGCTCCCCCCCACCCCCCAAAGGTGCCAATACTTAATGGGGAGCAGTCCTTAAAACGGAACTTCCCCTTTTGGGTGGAGCTCCGCTTTAACCTAACTGGAGGAAAGTTCAAAACTAATCTCAGAAAGTACTATTTTACTGAAAGAGTAGTTGATTCTTGGAATAAACTTCCAGCATGGGTAGTGAGCCAGACAATAGTAAATAGCTTAAAACATGCTTGGACAAGTATAGATCTATACTCAGAAAAAAAGTTATCAACCCCCCCACAAAGAAGAAGAAAAAAAGAAAAAAAAAAAACATAAAACAAAAACACCCCCCCCCCCAACAAAAAACAAAAAAAATGGGTAGACCTTTTTCTGCCATTACTTTTCTATGTTTTAATAACTCATTTGTCTAGGGGAGAGGAGAAACAGCTTTATCTATCTGACTCCTGGCTGATGGAGCTCCCTTATGCTCCAGCAGTGGACTATCCCTTGGTGTCATTATGTCTAATGCAGGGCTATGGACCCTGCTTTGATCTTGATGATGTCAGGACTTTAGACCACAGCAACATGGAGGAGAAAAATCTGCAGGGACTAGTCTAGGAAGGAACAGAGACCTGGGTAAGTAAACCTTCTTCTTCCTAGACAAGAACAAGCAATTGACCTTTGCAGTGCAGGCAGAGAACAGCAAGGGATAAGATAATTTTTTAGTTGCCTCGAGTTGGTCTTTAAGTATAGTTCACCTTTAAACATCCCAAAACATTTCAGTAAAGTGCAAATGAACATTGTAAATACGCCAGGCCATTGCCAGTTCCTTGACATGAATTACGCAGAGATAAGCAGCAGCTGACAGCACTGTATTAATGGTGTTCCACTTATATAAGGCAGTGGAGGGATGTGTCCTCTCCAGCCTCTAGTGCTGATTTCAGACACAAGTTATGAGACTTGGTGCAATTAAATTATTCCGAGACATGAGAGGTCCTAAATAAGGAAGCAGGAAAGCAAAGGAAATGCAATTTCCAGTGATTTACAATCTGTCTGGCTTGGCCAGGGGATTCAGTTTCGCCCTCTCTTGCTGTAATGCTCTTTTTGTATATAGGAAAACCTCTTAATGGTTTTCTAATGTACTGGGTATAAGAAGCCTTCCTCATCTCTTATTGATTTACTAGAAGAATTACAGACTCAGCCACAATGTTGTTACTTGCAAAAATAATGCTGGTATTGTGAATTAACCCTTGCTACGGCTTTATAATAAAAGGGTACCTGTCACATGAGCTTAGTAAGGTCATCAATTACCAGTGGAGAGTAGACACCATATTACAGACAAGCCAGCCTATGATTTCCTGAGGAGTCATTGTCATTCTAGTGGCATCCAATGTCTTGTACCTTTATGGATTGCACACTAGTGTAAATGGGTAAATACAGTGTTTTCAGGTGCCTTCAACTTGCCTATACGTTCAGTATGAGATGCTTCCAAATTGCTTCAGGCTGTCTTCTACTGGTTTTCCTTTCACATTGACTTCCATAGTGGATATAGAAGTCTAGTCATAACCTTTTCTTTACTTTTGGATAGTGCAAGGAAAAGTTAGAACCTCTATCAGATATGTATTGCTGTCTGTGTCCATGTGAAGAGATCTCCCCACATTTCCTGTTATGGTGTCCAGTGTTACCTTGGACAAAGAAATGAAGGAAATGGCATAGATAACAAAAAAATAACTTTTTATGCAGAGTGGGGGCCTTTGTCTGTCTGTCTGTCTGTCTTCTTGTGGAGTTTGCAACTCCTGTGACTAGTTCTGCCCGGGACTGAAAGTGAGGAAAAGTCCACCAAACAGCAAAAAATACCCAAAAGAGGTTTTACTCCCTTCCTACGCTAGCCAAAGCAAATAAAAAAAGTCTTGCCTAGTTTTCTATTCTAAATCTTTTCTCTGTTTCAATTAAAGTAACACTAAATTCTGGTATTAAATAAAAGTTCTATTCAAGTATGTATATTTTTTAGTTTTGGATACAGTGAAAAGTTTAGAACCCCTGTCAGTTTTTATTGCTGTCTGTGGCCCCATTAAGGAGATTCACCCTCTCTTTTAATCCTGTTTACCATTTTCATTAAAAGTGAAAGTAAAGAAAATCCCAAATTTTGGGTTGTCCCCAGAAAAGTAATAGAGGGGAAATCTTCCAATGGAAACACTGGTGACCTGGGGGTTCCCAAGGGATTCCTTTAATTTGTAG